CAGGAACACACACACCCAGGTAGGAACCAGGAACACACACACACCCAGGTAGGAACCAGAACCAGAACCAGGACTCACTCCTCTCATCATGCAGAAGAAACTCAGATCTGGACTGAAACCAGATAAATTTCTCAGAGTCTCTTTTCTACGTGAAGAAGAAACGTCTCAGGTTTAGTTCAGGATGCAAATGGTTAAAATGTTTAGCTCAGAGTTTCTGAAACTTTTCAGGTTGAGGATCATTTAACAGACAAGCTGACCTGAAATGAGCCACAATAACACGAAGCTCCATAAACACAACAAAATGAAAACATCGGTGCTGAAGGTGGGACTGGAAACAAAAAGCAAGAAAAACGAGGCGTCAGGCGGTCAGGGGCAGCACTTTAAGTCAGAAAATGGAACGAGATGAGACTGTCATTAATTAATCACATCTTAGTCAGAAACTATACATCAACAAAATAAGCAACATTTTCAATTCAAAAACTATTTTTACTGCTAAATTACTGAAGAGACAGAAGAGCAACAAAGATATTCATAGTTTTTAATCTGATATTCAGGTTGTCTGTGTTTTCTTTTAACAAATTCTTCTTTAAAAATGTAACTGTACGCTGACATTAGCGTTAGCTGCTACATGTTAGCATTGAGATGCTATGTTAGGCTAGCATAGCTTCACTGACAGGCTAACTCCCATTAGCACAACTTGAACACATCAGTCGTCTTTTCCAGGGTCCAATCAGATGGTTTAAAGCAGACATTAAACCCAGAGAAGCGTCTTCGTCCTCCATCGCTGTTAGCGCAGGTAGCTTTCCCGTCAGATTCAGGAGCGTACCAGAAACATGTGAATACAAAGGTTCCAGGACTTTTTTATTTTAAAAAATGCATCCACTGGAATTATTTAAAAAGTAGTAAAACTTAAGCTAAATGTTAAAATCTGTGTAATTAATTAATCAGAATTAACACCTTAGCATCCCGTCCAATCCTCGATTTTAGTTTTAGTAGTTCTTTATGAGCTAAATTTGTCTCTTTCACTGATAGTCCAGACCAGAGTAACAAGAAACGGAAAGAATGAAGTTCTAATCAGAAATAACTTCAGGAAATGTGTAACTGGAGAAAGAAGATGAGTGGATTTCATTTTTCTAGATATTTTGAGTCATCTTTGATTTATAACTAGAATGTGTGAATAATCACTGATCTGGAACCAAACGCTGCGTTGGAGCTTCACTAGCATTTTATGCTAATAGCATTAAGCTAACATAAACAGACAGGATGAATCGGACATGATCTGATTTACTGCTTACATCGGCTCCCTGTTCAGACCGATTCCCTACACTTTGTGTTGCTGAGCAGATGAGGTGGCTAATGGCGCTCTGCCAGTGACCTTTGACCCCAGAGAGCTTCACATCCAGCAGAAGCAGCAGCTGAGCAGCCAGCCTGCAGCCAGGAGGCGACTCTTCAGCGGTCAGTTCGTCTCCACGCCGGAGTTCATCAGGAAAACGCCAAACCTGTCAGCGTTTTCCGACAGGAAATGTTTCTGTTCTGCAGGTGAAGACGTTTCTCCGCCCGTCAGAGACAGCGGCCCAATCAGAGACAGCGGCCCAATCAGAGACAGCGGCCCCGTTGCTGCTCCGTCTCGGCTTCCTCCATCCCAGACGGCTGATCCAGGTCAGGCTGATGTTCAGACTGTAACAGATCTCAGGCCTGCAGCTCTTCATTTCTCCCTGGTTTTCCTGCAGCTGTCTGCGCCCAGCAGGGCGGCGCTCCCGAGGGAGGCCACCAGGCCGTCGGCCATCTTGGAGACCTCCAGGCCCTGCAGCAGCAGCTCCTGGAAGGGGCCACCCTGGCTGCTCAGATGGAGGCCGCTCTCTGTTCCCTGAACGCCTCGCAGAGGCTTCATCAGGTCAGAGGTCACACAGATGTTAAAGGAGAACTGTGATGAAAAATGTACTTTTCATGTTTTTATTCTTCCATTTGAGTTTTTACTGCTTCTAAAACTCACTCGGCTGTTTTTAGGCAATAAGTTAATCTAATCCTTCAATAATAAGCAGTAAATCTTTAAATTGCATCATAAACTAAAACAAACTCAATATTTCCGAGTTCCACCCGTTACCTAGCAACCCCAGCTGAGCTCTGCCTGTTACCTAGCAACCCCAGCTGAGCTCCGCCTGTTACCTAGCAACCCCAGCTGAGCCCCGCCTGTTACCTAGCAACCCCAGCTGAGCTCCAGGCTGTTTGCTGTTTCAGCCTTTGGACCGAGGATGCGTCAGTAACCTGCTGTCGGACTCCAAAACGCTGAAGCGGACCCTGCAGGAGGCGGAGTCTCTGCTGCAGGCGACCTGGACGGCGGATCTGACCGACTCTGAGGAAGCCAGACAGGTAAAAACCTCATCTGCATGTTTAAAGCAGCTGACATGAAGCAGATCCAAACTGAGCTGCTGAGTTGTGTAGGACGAGTCGCTGAGGGACGAGTTGCTGAGGGACGAGGTCGTCTGTCTCCGGATGAAGCTGTCAGAGCGGGACCAGGCTCTCAGAGATGCCATGGAGAGACTGAAGAGCTCCAGCCTCACCAAGGACAGCATGGAGCATTTCATCGTCAGCCAGCGTGAGTAAAGCAGCCATGACAGCAGAAAGCTGAGAAATATCCTTTAAGCCTCTGTAACAATGATCACTGTTTCAGGATTAACGTTTTTCTTTAAGAGAAAAATGAATCCACAGTAGCATTCATAGAGTTGCATTAGCATGCTAATGCTAATGCATTAGCATGCATTAGCATTAGCTAATTGCAAAAAACTTGTTTAATTGTGGAAAAGAGGTAGCAAACTAACACTCTTGCATGCTAATGCATTAGCATTGCATTAGCATGCTAATGCTAATGCAACTCTATGAATGCTACTTTCTAATCTAAAGAAAGGTGTGACACAGTGAGAGCATCATTAGCTCAGATATGCTAGTTGTTAGCATCTCTTGCTATATTTTTAAATGTGCATCTGAACAGTGAGATACAGTAGATATTGAACCTACATCTGCTAACAATTATGCTCTGCATAGAAATGTCTAATATCAGTTTTAATGTGTGATACAGTGTTGTTAGCATAAAGATGCTAACCATAAGCTAATGAGTGCCAAAGCGATCCAAAATGGCCGCTCTGGGATTTGCTCTCTGTTGCCTGTCAGTGGTTTTATATCTGTGTTGATGCTAATGCTCTAGTTGCCGTTTTGTTTCCAGTGTCGAGAACGCGGGACGTCCTGAGGAGAGCGAAGACCAACCTGCAGGTGAGCCTCTGGTTCCGATTTCAGTGGTTTCTGTTCAGAATGAGAACTGTTCCCTTCACGTCTCTCCTGCTGGTTCCTTTTCTGTTGTCTTGCTGAGTTTCTCCAGGAGAACAAACTCAGGATCTGCTCCCTTCCAGCCTCTGTCTCTGTCCCCTCCCCCCCCTCCGGCCCAGTAAAGGTACCGTCCGCCCGGTTCCTCTGTTAGACCGCATGCTGCTTCCATAACTTTCCCTTCCTGAACAAACCTGCAGTCTGACTGGGATCCAGAATCCTCTCTGATCCAGTTGAAGATCAGAACCCTGCCTTCATCTCCTGCTGTGTCTTCCAGGTGAAAAGCCAGGGGGCGCCACTGAGCTCGGCTCCCCTGCTGGTTGGAGCGTCCTGACACCCTGGGGCCTGGCTGCTCACCAGCGCCCCCTGCAGTCTGGCGGCGCGGCTCCTTGCTCCGGCTGAACCCGCCCTCAGTGACCACGGCTGAGACCGACAGAACCTCCAGTGTCCTTCCTCCAGACGTGCGACTTACAGCTGCAGATTGAAACCAGAATCTGGACCCTCACAGGTCCAAAGTTTCTGAACCTGGAATAAAAACCAGTTTGTGCTGATGGAGACGAAGCCATTCCCCCTGATGTTACTGAAGGCCTTCGCCTGTTTGTAGTTCAGTCACTGGTAAAATCCTCAGTAAGACAGAAAACTAACTTTACCAACAGAAAAGTCACTTATGGCTCTTTTGTTTCTGCTTCTAAAGATTTCACCTTCTCAAGCTACAAAGTATTATTATTATTATTTTAGATACTTGTTCGTGTAAGTCTGAGCTTTTCTCCACTGAAACATCCAGAGATGCTGCTGTGAAGCTGCAGCATCTCTGGATTCCTTCACTCTGGATGAAGGCCAGAAATCAGCCAGAACCGGGACGGACAAGCCCTGATCAAGGTCTTGGTAAGGTCTTTCCAGGATCTTGATGTGACCTTTTCAGGGTTTTAGAGTGCCGGTGTGAGAAGGCAGGTCAGGTTTCCTGTTCCCAAGGCTCCAGGCCCAGAGCCTCGATCCTTCATGGCTTCCTGCTTCGTGGCGGCGCCGATCCTGACCAGAAGTCGGCAGAAGTGACGCCTTCAGTGACGGCATAGTCCAATCATTTCCAACATGGTTCTCCTGGTTGGTGGTCCAGCCGTGTTTGGCGCTGTCCCTCCAGGACGCCGTGGTGATGACAGATTTATTTTTGGGTGTCTTAGTTTTCTTCGGTAGTTTCAGACTCTTCCTGGTTATTCTGGATTTTCTGTATTTTTCTGTTTATTTTTAGTTTGGTGCATGAGCTCCTCGTTAATTTCTCTGAAATATGCAACTTTTGGGTCACTGTGCAATAAGAGCCTTGTGTGGTTGCCATGACGCCTCTTCTAGTTTAAAAAGTAACTTATTTAGAAGATCAAAGCTGTTGACAATCAGTTTTAGGTGCCCATATTTATTGCTGTCAGGATCTGGTTGTAATGCTCAGTAGGAGACGTAGCAGCATTAACCTTCACTGTTGTATTTATGGAGCAATAAGGCCAACCAAAGCAGACGGCCTGTTGGTCGGCAGGTCGGGTCCAAAGTGACCCGTTTTAAAGAGCTAACGGCTAATCGGATAAACTTTGGGATGTTCAGAAACCAAAGCTAACGGAGGAACAGCAGCGCTTTTTCTGCTGACCTGCTGGATTTTTATGCATGTTCTCTTTAACTGTTTTGAGATAAAAACAAAAATAATCTTTTCAATAAAAATAATATATATGGTAGAAATAAACTACAGACTCTTGTTTTCTGTGACAGTTTTACAGCCACACACTGCTGTCAGAATTAATTTGTTTTTTTACTTTTTTCTCCATCTTAAATGTTTCAGATCATCAAACAGATTTTAACATCAGATAAATGTAGCTTCAGTTAATACAAAAAGTGCTTTTCGAATAATATTTTCATTTATTAAAGGGAAGATCAGACACTGGAGGAAATTATGTGTAACTGCCAGCAGGGGGCAGCAGACCCCAGCAAACAGCGGTGAGCCGCAACGACGAGTTAGATAAAAATGTTCAGACAAATCAGAGATAAACTCGTTAAATGTGAATAAATGTAATAATATTTCAGTCTCCGTATTTCCACGAGAAGTTTCTGTTTGATTTAGATTTTATTTATTACATTTTTATTTATCAGAGATTGTGTGACGCTGAGCAGCAGAGAGGAAGCAGATTGGACGTCCCTCCAAAATAAAACAGTTTCTAGTTTCCGCCTCATCTTTTTTTCCTCTTCATTTCTACAAACGTTGAATGAACCAGAATATTCCAGAATAACTGATTACAAAAATTAAACTTAGATTTAGACACTGGTGCTGCTGGAAGGACGAAAAGAGGAGCGACATGTCCAGATTTACAAACACAAAAATAATTAACATAAACGATTATTTTCACTTTTAAAATGTATGCAAAGAAAATTATGAGAAATGAATTTAGTGGACATATGACTAAACATTAGATGAGTTTTAGAACAGGAGAACACATTTCTGTTTGACTATGCTTGATTGCTATTTAGTATTATTTATTTATTTTTAATAGATTTTAGACATATTCTTGTAATGCTGTTTTGTTTGTTTTCATGGATTTGTTTTTCTGTTTAATTAAAAAATATAGTAACATATCTAAATGTTTTTAAATGCTAACAAGTAGCTTTAAGATTTGTATCTTAAAATATTTCCCCCCTTTTTTTAAAGTTTCAATTTTTTAGAAGCCATGTTGTTTTGGTAATATTTCTTATGTCTGTACATTTATGACTGAGTTACTTCTGTGACCTTTTTGCAACTATAAAATGATAACTTAAAGTAGCTATAGCTAATAATATTACTACTAGTAATAATAATAATCATTGATATTATTAATATTACATTATTGTTGCTATATTATAATACTACTATATCATTATTTTTAATAGTAAAAATAATAATTACTAAGGTACTAAAGCAATGGAAACTTGCAAAATTATACGATTTTTTATTCTTTTTAGTTACACTTTAAAAACGTACCACATAAAAGAGAACCGAAACAAATTTGTGGACAGGCTCTTTTATTTTGGTATGCACGCACCGGAAGTGGCTTCATTGCTGCTGTTCGCTTGACGTCGCTTTGACCCGCAAGACCGACGGTGTCAGAGTCAGGAAACAGACAGAACCAAGCCGAACCGCCACAGCTCAACAGAGAGATTAGCCGGTGTCCCCGGCGCTGAGCTCAGGGTTTATCCGGGGATGGAAGACCCTCCCCGGAGAACAGACACCGCCTGAACCGGAGCCGCCGAGAAACGGTTTCACCGTTCGTTAGGAACGGGCGGGTTTATCCCCGAGGTTCCGGTCGTTTTTGGGCAGGTAGTCGTTAGCAGAACCTCGACTAGCTGTTCCGTTAGCTGCCCTGGATCCACCAGCCATTAACGGGTTAAGTACCGATCTAACAGGTTCGGGTGGCTGGGTCGCAGCGGAGGGCGGGAATGTGTTTTTCACCTCCCGAACGTTGGATTACACGTGTGAACCCGGTCCGGTTCTTTCCCGGGGTATTGTCTTGAAGGAGATACCGGCGGCTGCTCTTTCTGCTCCCCGCCCCAGATGTGGAGCCACGTTCGGGCTCGGTATGGCAGCTGAGCGGACATGGCAGGCTGGAGGAGACTCCTGACGGGAAGAATCTCGGCTCTGAACCCGGAGGAGATGAGTTTTATTTCGGCGGTCTGGTGTCACTGATGCGACCCGGGTTCACCGCACCAGAACCGCCCTGATTACCGAGTTTTTAACAGAAACGGTGTTTTTACTCTGCGGAGGAGATGAAGAGGACGGAGAATAAAAACAAGAGGAAGCTGAGCAGTTTGGAGCAGCAGGAGAGCGGAGAGGAGCAGAAAGATGAGGTGAGCCTGTCAGTCCGCGCTCTGGGCTAAAACGCAACGTTTGCTCTTTTAATGAGCCACAGTTGAAGTTCCTACTTTCTTCCTTCAAACGTCAACAATCAGATCAAATTCTGACTTTTTGACATGAGAAATATTCAACAACAATTCTGAATTTTTAATGTTAAAAAATTTAAATCGACCCAGTAAAGCAATAAAGACAAAAAATATTTCAGCTAAACTTTTAGTGAACCGAACTAGGAATTTAAATTTTTTATACAGAATATAAATGTAAAAACACTTTTTAAATTAAATGTTTTTCATATGGAAAAATTTGAAACAGATTTTCATACCCAATTTTTTTAGATGTTCAGCAATTTACAATGTATTAAAGTTTGAGGAAATTTGCTTTAATTTCTAGCAGAAATACTCCATGTTGAAATTTTGAGTCGATATTAATGTGTCTGATAATCAGTAGTTATAATATTCCATACATTTCCTTAAGCTTTCAACATTGTGTGATAATATTAGCTCAGTTTTACTTATCGGATCAGTATCAGCCGATACGATGTTGATGCTGATATATCATGCATCACTAATTTTGAGTTGCAAATTTTAAATTTGAATGTCTTCCACTTTCATTGAATAAAAAATTTTATGTTTTGATATAAAAATGTTGATCTTTAACACCAATAACTTATTAAAACTTGTTACTAAAGTTTTGGTAAAATCTCAGATTTTATGTAAATTTCAAGTTATTTTTGTATTTTCTTAGACAGAATTTTGATATTTTAAGTAGGGATGCACAATATATTGGCAGTAACATCGGTATCGGTCCAGTAGGTATAACTTGGATATTAACCAGTGCTTATTTCCATCTTGTTTGTGATTGGGTGTTTAACTGAATAAATATCAGTAAAATATATTTATCGGTCATAACCTCAGTATAAATATCGGATAGCGATATCAGCCCACGTTTGCATATCAGTGGATCCATAACGTTAAGTCAAAGTTTCAACCTTGTTCTGTAGTTGAGTTGTAACAACAAAGATTGAACTTGAGAATATTATCTGAAATATTCATATTAATGACAGAGATCGCTAAGATTCAACATGAGAATGTCTAAAATTAATATTTTTTTTATTTTTTAATTTTGAGAAATAATTCTGCAGCTTCTGCTCAACATGTTGTAAAGATCAATTCAGAATTTTATTTGGAACAAAATTTTAACCGCAAAAGTCAGATTTTGGATATTGGACTTATTTTTTTTATAATAAAGTTTATAGTTCAATTATGAATTCTTAAGTTTTTGGTCAGAATTTGAGTCAAGCTGTTATTTTAAAATCTGTTCTCATTTTGACACCAAACCATGATGAAGTTTTGTTTTTGGAAAATATTAAGCAGTATTTAACATGTTTTCTTTTTTTATATCTTAAATTAAATGTTAGAAATGTGTTTCTAGTCATTTTTACAGAACTGATCTGGGTTCTGACCCGTTTATATCCTGAGCTCTTGACTCTGGTTCTGATCCGCGGCTGGTTTCGTCATACGCCGTCCTGAAGGATTGTTTGTAATTCCTCCGCAGAGCGATTATGTAAGCTGGACACCGAGCCGGTCCGGTCCGACCCGAAGGCAGCAGATTCTGCTCAGTCACTGCAGGTTCTGACTGGGTTCTGACCTGGTTCTGTTGACTGGTGCTGGTCGTAATGTGCATGGGATCTGTAGAGGAGAAGCTGAGTTGTGCTATTCACATAAAATCCGTTGATATTTTTGCCATATTTCTGATTTTAATGCTGATATTTAATTATTAAACAGTCAAAACATAAATTTAATCCTTAAAGAAGTTAAAACATTTATTGATTGATGATATTTGTGCGTCAGATGGAGCGTGACGGGACCCTCAGCTTCATCAGCCCTCTAGCTGCTGCTCAACATTTGGGCCCAGATTGTTTTTTATTTATTTTTTTCTCGATTTTTTTATTTTTTTCTGCAAAGATGCAGAAACATTCAAACCTGCATCAGGACCCATGTGCTGGGTTCCAGAAGGAAACACTAAGCTAGGCTAGGCTGTGCTAGGCTAGGCTGTGCTAGGTTTTGCGATGCTATGCTAGGCTAGGCTATGGAGAGAACTAGCAGTAGAGTCCTGACTGGACGGGTTTTGTTTGGTCCAGTTTGCAGTCCATGCTCCTCTGGACCTTTGACCCGGCGGCTTGTTTACTCAGAACTCTGTTTACACTGATGACCCGGTTCTGGGTCAGTGACCCGGCTCCATGGCAGCAGTAAAGCAGATAACGGATTGGTTCTGGTGGATGCTGCTAAGCTGTTTTACTTACTGCAGAGAGGAACTGACCCTGGTTCTGGTTCTGGTTCTGTTGACCCACACTGTTTTTTTTATTTTTAATCAGTTATGAGGCAAAACCTGGAACTGCTGCTGCGCCAGTTACTCAACAAGTTGTTGCTAGGCAACCAAAGATTGAGTGAGTGAGTTAGCTTAGCTAGCCATGAGAGGTTAGTCAGTTAATCTTCTGATTGTTCTGGTGTTTGTGACAGATTCTATTCTGCAACAATAAACAATAAAATCCCAGTTTTCCTAAAGTTACTCCGGCTGGTTGGTTCTGACTGTGACCGGAGACGAAAACCAGCTGGACTGGATTAAAGGAGTTCCCATGCTGTTCGGCGTTCCCTCCCGTTTAGTTCCCATGCTGTTCAGCGTTCCCTCAGCCCCATTGGAGGCGTTGTGTTGCAGCAGGTCCAGGTGGGTCCGTTGGTTCCGATCCGATCCGCTGGATGAGTCTCGCTGAAGGTCTCCGGTGTGACGGGTTCATGTTGACGCTGCGGAAATAACCTGAATGATTCTGATTATGGAGGTTTTTAATAATCACATATTGAACCTTTCAAAGTAAAACTCTGAGTTTATGAAGCAGCTGTTTCTGTTCCGTCTGCTCTAGTGAACCAGAACCGGTTCTGATCCAAACTGTGGTGAGATGCATCATGGCTGCTCTGTTGGAACGAATGATTATTAATAATAATGATGAATCTAGACCAGAAATCTGTCATCATAAGCTCAGATGACGCATTTAAAATACTTCCAGCTTTTTATTCCCACATGTTGAGTCCCTTCAGAAATTCATGTTTTATTGTTTCCATAAAGTGGAGATAATATTTCCTCTACTGGAAATTTTTACCAAGCAACAAGAACAGCAGCAGAAAACATAAAACTGGCATTTAGAGCGATAACTCTGAATATTCATTCATGCTTGTTATGGAGGATGAAAACTGAAGTTAACACCATAAATTAAAATAAGTTTCATGCTAAACTATAAATATTTATAACAGCAGATGTGCAAAGAGTTAAAAGATTAGAGCAAAAACTGGAAGAAACCAGTTTAAAGGATCTGCAGCTACAGTTTTACTGTTTGTTCCAATATTATTACCAAGAGCAACATGTTTCAAATATTAAAATAAAAAATGCATTTCAAAAATGAAACTCCAAAAAACTTCTCAGTCAATAAACACATTTTGATAGTAATTTACAATGTTACAGTTAAACTTACATGCAGTTTGGGATCCAACTGATCCAGAATGAAACCTGATGAAGCTCAGCATCAACGTTTAGCCTCACGCTGCAGTCCGAGTCGGGAATCGTCTCTCTGGTTTTAATCTGCTGCAGCAAACTGGACCTGCTTAATCTTAATCTGAGCTGCAGATTAACAGGATTCCTTCTCAGATTGAACTTTGATCTGCTAGGAGCTGAAAAACATTCAACTTCTGAAACATTCAGCTAGCGCCCAGCTAATATTGAGCTAACTCCCAGCTAGCGCCCAGCTAACATTGAGCTAACTCCCAGCTAGCGCCCAGCTAACATTGAGCTAACTCCCAGCTAACCCTGATGTGGCACGGCGTTCCTAAGGAGGGTTAGGAAATTAGTTCTTGTTTTAACTGCAGGTCGTTGTTGTTGATCTTTTGCAATAAATCAATAAATCACATGATGAACTAAAGTCAGCTCCATAACTGAACCTTATTCTGAAGGATCATTTTTATAATTCATTTTATTTCTTTCTGTTGTTTGTTTATTTTGGATATTTAAAATGTCTTCCAGTTCCAGTGATTAATGTTTTAGAATGTAAACTTAAGTGATCCTTCACAACTTGTTGCATTATTATTATTATTATTAGTTATCATACTTCTCGCTGATCCTGATTGAAATGAAGACTCTTCCAGCTCCAGCAGAGAACCGTGAAGCTCTGCTGCTGCGCTGCGTTGGTCTGCAGATGTGCATCAGGGTGTCACCAAGCTGCACATTCTTCTTCAGTAACGAGCCTCAGAGGTCAGAGGTCAGCCGATCCTCTGGGACTGGTGGATGTGCAGCAACGTTCTCCAGCCGAACAGAAACAAAACAGCTTCAGTTATTACAAACTGACATCATTAGAAACTAGAGATCAGGCTGACCTCTGACCTCTGACCCGACCCTTCGGTTCCTCAGTGGTTCTTCTATCAGAACATTCAGGCCCAGAGGACTAAAGTCTCCGACCAGAGAAACTCATCCAGGATTTAGTGGTTTGATTCCTGCAGCAGGTCAGACTGAGACCAGAAGCTGCAGCTGGAGATCTGACTAGAACCAGGAGGGTAGAGACACCACCCGGTTCTACACCACCCGGTTCTACACCGCCTGGTTCTACACCACCCGGTTCTACACCACCCGGTTCTACACCACCGGGTTCTACACCACCTGGTTCTACACCATCTAGTTCTACACCACCTGGTTCTACACCACCCGGTTCTACACCACCCGGTTCTACAGCACCCGGTTCTACACCACCCGGTTCTACACCACCTGGTTCTACACCACCTGGTTCTTCACCATCTAGTTCTACACCACCCGGTTCTACACCGCCCGGTTC